GGGTCAGGCGCATCACATAAATCCCACGTTTAGAGGAATTTTCAGGTGACCATGGCATTGCGGCTGCTACTCGAACAATACACTTGTATTTTGCGGTCATTTCTTCAAACCAATATATATAGAGAGAGAGAGAAGTATGTAACATCAACAAATGCAAATGTCTAAGATAAATAGGTACTTTTCTTTGAGAATTCAGAGCAGTAGTAGGCAGTATAGACACTTTTTTATCAATTAAAAAAAAGCAAAGAACATAGAAAAGAGTAACAGTATTTAAATTGTATGACAACATTATTAAAGATAGAGTAAGCAAGGGAATCAAAGCTCCGCAAATGTAAGGCCGAACAAAATGCATTATGATACATCTGAATGGGTGGGAACATCCATTAAAGTATCCAATCGGGCATAATCATGATCCAACCACCGTCAGGGGAGGGGAACAAATTGCACAAGAAAATATATGTTTGATAATCATCGCATTGAAAACAACACAAAACAATAATGAAATTCGCTTACCATAAAAACTATCTCAAAAATGAATACAAAAGACAACAAATCGAAACATCAGTGAATTGATCGACTATTCCAATTATCTTATGAGCCAACAGAGTGGACAAAACCCCTTTCGTGCTGTTTTATGATATCATCATTCCATATGTGCCGAAGCTTTGTAATGGAGTCAACACGCCATGCCATAGTCCTGCATGCATCACTTCAAGACGCATGTTGAAAAATGTGACCCACTTGCCATTTTCTAAAAGGTTTAGATGGTTCTTCTCCATGCTTTTGCCTTACGCGCTACTCTCAAGATGGACCCAACGGTAGCAAAAGTACACAACAATCCTCTTGGCATAGGCACTAGTTCATGATGTAAGGGAAGAGGATTGTGCAGTTCATCTTCTAACCTGCAATTTTGGAAAGACCATCGACTTTCTTTGACGATGGTGCAATGCCATCAGCAACTACTAACTAATATATACTACACAAAAATATAATTGATTGTGATATTTCGTCTAGCCCAATTATTGTTCGGAAAAAATGCAGAAGATTCAACAAGCAAAAGATCAATTCCAGGCACTACTACATCACCCTTTATTAGATAATTATTGGAGTATATGTTTATTTTCAAATTTTTGTCGCCAATTTACTTTTAATTTATATCCTATTTTATATCAGGAGGTACTATTTTCCTATTTTGTGGTTAGTTTATTTCCTAATATATACCCAAAGGCTTGGCTGTTTATGGAGCACAATAACGTTGTGTAATCCAAATAGCTGACCTTACTTAGTGGAATAAGACTTCTTGTTATAAATGCCGTTACTCTTGGGGTTGCTCACCGTTAAGGTTTTCTTTTATTGCTCATGAATACCAAAAGCTGTGTAATGTAAGACGTCATGATTTGATCAATAATAATTCCGCGTTTGAGTTTTTTCTCTCTCTTAAATAAGTTAGGCTCTAAATTTCATTTGTCTTGTATCCATTGAGATAATTGGTTATATACAGAAATTATTTGTAGCATATTGAATGCACAAATAAAATACATATCATGTGCAACATGTAAAGACTAACCACCTGTAAAAGACTTTCTAACAAGTTCAGCATATAAATTTTCTTTCGCACCTGGGTTAAAGGCTCTTTCCAAAGGAATTTATGCCCACCTCTTCCCTTGATTATATTCAGTTTGGACAGGAATTGTATGTGTATCCCTTTGATTTAAAAGACACAAGCCCCAAGCTGGAGATGGTAATGACACTTGTTTTGATAAATTAGTTTTTCTATTTCTTAAATTAGCTTCTTATTTTATAATTGTCTGTTGGATGTGGGCCAACTTGACCTAAGCCCATCTGCTAGTTTAACCTAACCCTAATAGGATTTATTGTTAGTATCTTTATCTTATTAGAAATATTTTTTTACATATTATAGGGATTATAGAATCAGATTATCTGCTGTTATCTTTTCTAGTTATTAGAGCAGATGTGATACGATATTATCAAATCTTTGCTCTTCTATATGTATGCTCCTCTCTGTTGAATGGAAGTAAGCCTTTTCGCACTGCATATTCTCATGGTATCAAAGCGACACCACTCATGTCATATAAGGCAGTGCTAACGGGTCCTAGAGCCTTCGCCACCAATGGTCTAGAAACTCTCCAGCACAAGGAGGGGGCTTAAATGGGGATGCTGAAGGGGGTGGTGCGAGTTCTCTTGGGGATTCGGCAATTTGCACACGGACTCTCTCTCAACTTATCATCAACCATTGTCTAAATGGGAACAATTACTTGCAATGGTCCAGAAACGTGTTACTATAATATGATAAGGTACGAGGAAAGCTGTAAGGCTCTTATTCAGCTTCCCTCTTCAACTCCTTTACCAGCTGCAAAATCCTCTGCTATGGTGGCTTGAGGCAACCAAGGGGGAGATTCAAAAGGGAAGAAGTCTCTCCATTGTGATCATTGCAGCAAGAATGGTCACACATGAGAGAATTGTTGGAAAATACATGGTAAGCTAGCCCACCTGAAGCAACAGAATAAAAGTGACAATAAAGGTTTCATGGCCAGTCAAACTGCTAGTGAAGGAAATTGTCTAAATAATGAAGAACTTCTTGTGCTCAAGCGAATTCTAGAAAGACATGCTCAAGAAAAACCAAGTGAGAAATCTTCCCCCTTAATTACATTGGCTCATGCAGGTACAACTCTACATACTGCTTTAAGTACTGCCACTGAATGTAAGAACATTTGGGTAGTTGATTTTGGTGCTACAGATTACATTACTGGAAATTCCAGGACTTATTTTCTGAGTTCAATCCTTATTCTAAGCACACAGGTGTGCAAATGGCTTGTGATACTTATGCACAGGCTATGGGGTCCAAAAAAATTATGCTTTCTGTTGGGTGCTCAAATAATAAAAGGAAACGATAGGAATAAATCTATAAGATCATATAGAACAAGAATCCCGTTCTATACTTCTCTCAATAGCCATGCTTAGGAGAATCTCCAAAGGGTTTGAAAGACTATTTTATTAATTTTCTGATATGCTAGCTTCTAAGTTGCTAGTCATATTTATAATGCTAAATACAATTTAAAATAATAAATAAAATCTAGATAACAATATCACTAAATAAACTCTCCTAAAATCTAAGTAGATAAAATACTGAATCTAAATAAAATTTAAAGAATCTTAATGACTAAATAAAATCTGAATAAATATCTAAAAATCAAATAAAAAATGAAACCTATCTTAATTTATCTTTTGCCGCTTACTTCTTGAATAAATCTGAATTTTATCCAGGATCTTATCACTTTCAGAGTCTCATGTTAAGTAATGCGTTATATGTACCTCACATTCAATGCAGTGATGTAGTCTGCTGTCCATTAAATGCATGGCTTGTTAGTTAAATTGCATTGCTATCTTTGACAAATTTCACTGTGTTTTCAGGATCTAGCCTCAGGGAAGATGATTGGCAAAGCTAAGGAACACAATGACTCTACTACTTTGAAGGAAATCTAAAAAATAAAGGCTGCTTAGCTCATTCTAGTTCTAGTTTCAATTCTGTTTTTGCTTCCGCTGTTATGTCTCAAGAAGACATTTTGTTACAGTATTTTTGATTAGGTCACCCCAGTTTTGATTATATGAAAGTTTTGTTTCCAAATTCCATGACTAAAGTCAATTTTCCTCGTGATATTTGTCAGTTTGCTAAACAAACTCACAACCCCTATCCTGCTTCTACTTATACTCCCTACTAAACCCTTCAATCTTGTGCATAGTGATGTGTGAGGTCCTTCTAAAATTGAAACTCACTCGAAAGCCAAGTAGTGTGTTACTTTTATTGATGATCACACCCGTCTAATGTGACTTGTTTTAAATAAAGACGAGTATGAAGTTGTTACTCTCTTTAAAAACTTTTATAATTTTGTTAAAGATAAATTTCAGACTAATATTGAAATTCTTCGTAGTGACAATGGACCTAAGCATTTGGACACATTTTAAAACCTTTCTTGCTGAAAAAGGGCTACACATTAAACTTCTTGTGTGCATACACCATAACAAAATAGAGCAGCCGAGAGGAAAAATAGACATCTTAAAGGTAGCTAGAGCCCTTTTATTAGGCAGCAATGTACTGAATAAGTTTTGGGAAGATGCAGTCCTCATGGCTGTGTATCTTATCAACCATATCCCATCCAAAGTCCTCAAGTTCAAAACTCCTCTCCAAAGTTTTTTAGAGTCTTATCCCTACTCAAATCCCATTAATTCTCTTGTGAAAGAGTCTTTGGATGTGTAGCTTTTGTGTTTAATGATGAGGGTGGGAAACATTATTATCATTCTATTAAATGCCCGTTCTTGGGTTACTCCTCAACAAAAAAAGGGTACAACTTCTATTCTCCCGTAAAAAGGAAGTTTTATGTCACTATGAGCATTAAATTTGTTGAATCACTACCATTCTATCCCTAATTACCCATTCAGGAGGAGAATGATAGTAAATGATTAATTTGAGGAACTATAGATGATCACTTAAGCAATCAATCCACTAGCATCACTAATATCAAACCTTACACATCACTTGATCCTGTCCAAGATTATACCAGTCCTATCCAGCATAATTCTGACCTTGAAATACTTATTTCTGAAGCTGAAACTTAATTTGATCACCATGCCAGTCAAGAACAACCTTCTACTAACTCTCAAGATTCTATGTTTGACTTTCATATGCATGAAACGGGAAAATCAGCCTGAAAAAGCCCACAAATAGCAAAGGTTCTAAGGCAGAGTCATGATTCACAACCTAAGGTTAATCCTGAAGATCTTCAGTGGCCTATTGCTCTTACAAAAGGCAAGAGGAGTTGCACTCAACACCCCATTGGAAGGTATGTCTCTTACAAAAAGCTTAAAACCTTTGTCACTGCTCTTGATAATGAAGAAAAACCTAGAACATTTGAAGGAGCCAGATCTGACCTGAAATGGAAATTGGCTATTGGAGAAGAATTGAGGGCCTTGGACAAAAATAAGACTTGGGAAATTGTTGATTTGTCATGTGGGAAGTCAGTTGTAGGAAGTAAATGGGATTTTACTAAGAAGTACAACTCTGATGGGAGTCAAAATAAATATAAAGCACCACTAGTTGTAAAGATTTTACCCAACCTATGGCGTTGATTATCAAGAGACATTTGCATCTGTGGCTAAATTTAATACCATTAATGTTTTGTTGTCTCTCACTGCAAATCTAGACTGGCCGTTACAAAAACTAAATGTTAAGAATGTCTTCTTAAATGGGAACTTGGAAGAGGAAGTGTACATGGAGATACCCTTAGGATTGAGAGGACCCGAGAATGCAAACAAAGTTTGTAAGCTCCCTAAATCCTTGTCTGGAATAAAGCAATCACCTAGAGCTTGGTTTGAAAATTTCACATGTGCTTTTAAGGGATTTGGTTATAATCAATGCCAAGCAGGCCATACTTTATTTGTAAAGAGGTCTGGCCCAAAACTAGCTGTACTAATCTTCTATGTAGATGTTATTGTGCTAACAGGTAATGACATTGAAGAAATTGACAAAATGAAGAAGAAACTCACTGCAGAATTCAACATTAAAGATCTTGACCACCTGAGATAATTCCTTGGATTGGAAGTAGCTCAGTCATCTAAGGGCATTAATGTCACATAGAGAAAATATAGTCTGCATCCCCTCAAAGAAGCTGGTATGTTAGGTTCTAGACCTGTAGATACTCCAATGGAGCTTAACTGCAACCTGGAAAAAAAAAACTTGATGGAAAATCAAACAATAAAGCGAGGTACCAGAAATTGGTAGGAAAACTGATTAATTTATCGCATACTTGGCCAGATATATCCTTTGCTGTTGAGGTTGTAAGTCAGTTTACAACTAATCCATAGAAGGAGCATATGGAAGCTGCCTATCATATTCTCAAATACCTCAAGACAACCCCAGGGAAGCGATTATTATTTTCTAAAGGAGACAAAAAGAGTGTAAAAATCCACACAGGTGGAAACAAGAGAACACCAGGCGTTGAAAATGAAATAGATGTAGAAGTTTACACTCATGCTGATTGGGCAGGATCCATTCACGATAGGCGCTCTACTACAGGGTATTGCACCTTTGTGTTGGGTAATCTTGTGACTTGGAGAAGCAAAAGACAACCAATTGCGTATAGGAGCTCAGCAAAATATGAATATAGGGCCTTAGCTCTTAGAATTTGTGAAGGCATATGGATTGTACAATTACCAAAAGAGCTCGGCATAGAACCACAAACTCCTATTAAAATGTGGTGTGACAGAATCACCGCCTTAAAGATTGCCAACAATCCAATTCAATATGACTGTACAAAGCATGTGGAAAAAAATTTAAGCTAAAGTCATAGATCTCTCCCACATTCTATTAGGAAAGCAAGTTGCAGATGTGATGACCAAGCCTTTTGTGTGAAACAAGTTTGATGAGCTAATAGGCGAGTTGGAAATAATCAACATCTATTGACCAGCTTGAGGGGAAGTGTTGAATGTGTGCTGACTTGACCTAGGCCCATCTGCTAGTTTAACCTAACCCTAATAAGATTTATTGTTAATATCTTTATGTTATTAGAAATATTTTTTACAGATTTATAGGGATTACAGAATCAGATTATCTGCTGTTACCTTTTCTAGTTATTGGAGCAGATTTGATACGATATTATCAGATCTTTGCTCTTTTATATGTACACTCCTGTCTGTTGAATGGAAGCCTTTTCAAACTGATATTCTCATTATCTCAAGAAAGATTTTATCTCGTTATTGTGAAAATCTGGCCAACCTCATGATTCTCGTCAAAATGTAAAATTAACTAGATAGATATCAAGTAATTGACAAACATGCAAGCACCAATATAATTTTCCAAACACTCTAGAATCATACTGATTGGATCAGACCTGTGGAACTTATATCAAATAGAAGGTTCCAAGATCCCCCCAAGGAAAAGAACCTTAAAATGGCACACCTATATAAGCCGTCTCAAAGTTAATTAAATCAATGTGCAGATAACTACAGGCATGAAGTCAGTATAAATATTTGGAAGTAATGTTCATTGCTCCTCCCACTATTATCTTAAATAGTTTGTTCCATCCTCACATCTGTAGTTCTTAGTCAGCCCTTTCCACTGACTCCTATATCCATTAGCCGATTATAAGAACCAATAACAGTAATAGATTTCTGTATGATTTATGCAAAATTAACATCAACGTGAGAAAAGGGTTAAAATAGCAATGTAGAACTAAATTGAAATTAACTCATTTTGCACTCATACTGTTTGGTGGCAAATCCGTACCATCCCAAACAAAGACAATCCGTTCTTGATTTGCAGTCTCACAATAGTGAAGTATCTTAATGCACAAAAAACAAATTGAGAAGCATCTGATTATCAGAACTATATAATGGTAATAACGTAAACGGTGTTTCTCTTGTTTAGTTACCACAGAGGGGCCAGGGATGTACAAGAACATATGCGTGTTTCACAAGCAGATACAAAAATCAGAATAAGAAAAATACCTTGCATGCCAGACTGCAGCAATCTCCTTCCTTGGTTTCTCTTAACATTGGAAAGCCATAAGAATCTACACAGAATATGCAAACCTTAAATATCCAACATGAACTTAGCTTCAAAATAGCAAGCAAGGAGATGAAATTACAAGAAAACCAAAAGCTACAGATACCATGAAATCAATGACTCATCACACAAGTATTGCTTTCAGTAGTAACTAATTGCTAATTGCGCTAAAGCTAAACAAATTTATAAATACATCTAAGGGTTAATTCATAGATTATCTGGTTTCGGAAACCCATATTTAAATGATTTACAGTTACTTTCAGTTATGAAATTCATATTATTTTCACTGCAGCACTGCACCAAAATGTGTGTATTGAACAATACGTGCATGCACATCACGTGTAGTTTGGACTAAACCAGTTAAAAATGAATCAGCTGCTCTCAAAGCATATTAAATGCCACTAGACCTTGAACGGGCTGAGAATTGACCAGCTTCTAAGCTCAGCTAAGGGCGTTTTGTCCTTATCTCTAGGGACAAAATCATCGGTGTCTTTCCCATTATGTAATGCAAAAGAGGAAAACATTTTATTGAAGACAGCATTTACGTCATCACCATGCGTTTTTACCTACAGAATTAGAAAACATATATTGAATGCAGTACTCAATCAAAATTTGAATTCATCTTCATCGTATTTTCATTCTATAAGATAAAATTGGTGCATTTATAAGAAATCAAACCCAATAATATAAGGCTCTTTAAAAACTTGTCACAAAAATTGACTGAAAATTTTTGAAGCCTTTATACGTAAAATGTAAAAGTGTAAAATGTTTAAAAACAGATATGCATATCATTTGTATTTATAATGTTCGAGGAAATTCAATCATTCAGTCAATAATATTATAATATTACCTTCTTATATATCAAGCCAACTAATAAAGTGGTTGTAAATTCACATTCTCATTCTAGTCCTAGAAAGTAAGTATAGTTGACTTCCTTTTTTTTTTTTTAAGTGATAAGAGTAGATGACTTTCATAGTTGCTTTCTTACTTTTACTTTTGTTATTCTTTGCCCCATTTTTGTTCTTTTCCAGGTAAACTGAACCACTCCTCAACTTCCCTAAAAACCTTCCATCACAAGGGATAAGTACCTGAGTTATATCATAGAACTTGTAAGTCCTAATGCCAAACCCTGAATTAAGAAAAACCGATGAGAACTTCCTTCATATCATTGACCCTTCTCACCACAAAGTCAAACTACCTCCCCTTAGTCTCACACTATCATTATCAAACTGCATATTCATTTCAAAACCTAAATCCCTTCATGCAATCAAAACATGAACATCATGAAAAAACCACATGAAATGGCAAACAATAGCTAAAATTGAATATTTCAAGAACTTGGAAGTCAGAGTGAGACAGAGAAAACCAGTATACAACTAATTTTGCTAAACTTTACTTAAATGTAGGTGCTCAGAAACAAATATTATTGAAAGAAACGGTGCATAAAAATATTCAATAGTCAACAGTAGTCCAGAAAAACAAAGCAAACATGTTTCTAGAGAATCCACTATCAAATCTAGGACTAAGAAGACCGTTACCATGACATTAAAAAGCTGAACTATGTCTCCTCTTCCTACAACATTAGGAAGCTGTTGCGAGCTTTCAGCAAAAATATTAACGAGCAGCCCAGGTTTCTGACATGATTCATCAATTATTCTTGAGGTACAATAGAAATCTGCAGAAACTATTCAAGTAAGCCAATAAGCAAGGGCAGAAAGCATTTCATGCTAATAACTCCAAAATAACTTCCAGTTTTCCACCTGAAGTAAAGTCATAAACCAAAACCTAGCCTTTTTAAGGTAAGAATCCAATAAAAGTAAGATGACCATAAAGGCACGAGCTCAGAAAAGCACAAATATGCAAACAGTTTGTACAGCAGAGGGAGTTTCCCAGAAACCTAAAACAACCAAGTTTAAGAACAGTTCAGCCATTTTGAACTTTACCCCACAAAAAAGAGTTTTAGTATACATTAGCATCAACCAAAACATAATCATGAAACTGGCTCAGAACATATACCTTGACAAAATCATTCATCAATCTACTACCAGTAAGTGAAATGGCAGCCATAAGTCCGGCCTTTGATTCTTCATCGCCAGTCAAAATCTAAACCAACCAAACTTCAATCTCCAAATACTTTGAAAAGTACAACATGAGTTTGAAAAAGATTGTGAAATCTGAATAATTATTGATCCATTTGGGATCCAAATTCATGAAATTAAAAAAAAATTGCAAGGTATTAAAAACATGACCAAAAATCTAGCCTAAGGTGATAACCATAAGGACACAACCTCAAAGAAGCACAAAAAGTATGAAAAGGAAAACAGTGCAGCAAAATGAATTTCCCACTTCCTAGAAATCTAAAACAACCAAGTTTAACAACAGTTGAATCACATTGAACTTCACCCACTAAAATAGAATACTTTTAGTGCATATTGATAACTGTTATCAACCAGAACATAATTAATCATGAAACTGGCTCAGAACATGCACCTTAAAGAAAAAAAAATCGTCAATCTACTACCAGCGAACTAAATGGCAGCTGTAAGTCCGGCCTTTGATTCATCATCACCAGTCTAAGTCTAAACCAACCAAACTTCAGTATCCAAACACTTTGTAAACTTCAACATGAATTTAAAAGAAAAAAGTGAATTTTGAATGATCCTTGCTCCATTGGAGATCCAAAATTGTAACATCATATGCAATGTTTAAACAGCAGGATCCTTCAAATGGAAAGTTCACCAGTGCCCCTACTTCGCTTTGGCAAGCTAAACTCTGCTATAATGCCCGTTTTGTTCACTGTTTGATTGATACACTTCATGGCATCTTGTATGGGAAGAAACTTGTAGTTGTCTGCAGTTTGCAATTCTCTCAGTAACTCTCTGAGCTCTTACCCTTGCCCGGCTCCTCTGAAAAGCAACCCTGCACCTCACTAAATAAAAAATTCATAATTCACAAATAATTTATTATAATTAAAAATAAAAAGAGGCTAAGATAAAAAATTTAGTCATTCTCTGGCTACTAATCCTTAATTCAAGTCTAACAATTTCAAAAAGGTTTCCAAAAATTTATTTATCAATAAAATAAAAAAATTATTTATGTTCTCCAATATTTTTAACATCACACCTATCATTGAATCATTTGATGTACATATATTATAAAAGAAATAAAACCTATAGAAGAGGATTCTTTTTTATATAGAAGAGAATTCCAACACACTAGTTTCAAAACCAGTGACGAATCCAGGAGCTACTAATTTTGGGGTGGGGGGCCAATTTGAAATTCAGACATAAAGTGAGGGGGCCAAAATCTAATTTAACGTTTTTTACAAGTAAGAAATTATTTTTTTCCCAAAGGGGTATTAAATTTTTTTTTTTTTGGGAGGGGGGGGGGGGAGCCCCTCTTTGCCCCCACAGATTCGTCACTTCGAAGCTGCAATTTCTTTTGGGAACCAACCAAAAAGATCTAGCATTACTGTAAAACATAAATAAAACAAAAATATCAAGGCATCAGTAATCTTTCTTGATGAAAGGAGCCAAAAAGGGGGGGGCGGGGAAAATACATTCCAAACATACATTTTCACAATCAAAAGAACTGCGTCTCCCTATGGCAGCCAGAATTAAAACTTACAAGCAGTGAACAGTAAAATCTCAGTTCGTTCCAGATTTAGCTCCTGTTTAACAGCAAAAATCCGTTTTATCGAACTTATATTCAAGGTAGACTACAACTAAGTGAGGATTTGTGCTTTGGAAACCCAAGTCTGAGTGAACTAATTTTGGAGCGATACCCGCGGTAAAAAGAACAAGAAGATAGAGCCACAACAGTTCGGCTCGTAAATGGATGACATGAGAGAAGAGAACAGGAAGTAGAAAATGAAAATGGTCTCACTACTTGCAACCCCAACTCTCTTTCGCTGTTCCCCGGGCGATGGAGTAAGAGGCTAACCACCGAAATAAGGTGGCGGCAGCGGACTCGCACAGTTAGATGTGACCGAAAGGAAACAGCACCAGCTACGACAACTCTCCACTCCCGCAAAATGCAGCCGAGGCCAGGCCAGAGCCTCATGGGCTCATACATATTGTTATAAATAAAAATAACTGAGCAGTAAGTTTAAAAAATAAAAATAAAAATCCAAGTGGCCCGTTTTTGTGTATGTCTGCGGTTTTTTTTCCCAAATTTTGTTGATGTACACGTTAAAAACTATGCATTAGTTAAATATTTGACTGTACATTAACTTAATAATTTTTTATTATGAATTATAAAATAGAGTTTGTATAGTTCTAGATTAATTTTTAAGAAAATATAATTGAAAATATAAATTTAAAAACAAGTAATAATAACTTGTGAGATAATAATAATTAAGGGTTCTGGCATTAAAAAACAATAGTTAGGATATACAATTTATTTTGGCATTTATAAGAGTTTTTGAGTATTTTTAAAAAAATTATAATTTTTATTTATTATTGATTTTGACATTGAATATTTTTAAGAAAATTATAATTTTAAATTTATAATTAATTTTGACTTGTAATAAGATATTTAAATATATTTTTATAAAATTAAATCATAATTTTTCTTTATTTTTAATTCTTCTTTTTAATTTTATTTTTCAATTTTACTTAAAATTAATTTTGTTAATCAATTGTATAAATTAATTATATCACATGACGATTATATTTGAAATCTAGCTGCACTAAAAATTAATCCCTTTCAATATAGAGACCAAAAAATCAGGTTTTGCGAGATTTCTTCACATTCATAGTGAACAATCAAATTCTTGGCAACATGAATAAAAGACAACTATCTCTCAATGTCATAAAAATTGTTGGTTATTGAGTCGACATATATATATATATATATATTTTGCCAACTATTGACTCGATAATTTGATAAAGAATAACAATATATTTATAAAGTATAAATAAAAATAATACTAGATAATCCTGCCATGCTAAGGTGCCTACCTTTCCATGAAGAGGGAGTTTTTTTATCTAACCTTATGCAGGACTGGAACAAACAAAGCTTTTGTCACTATGAGGGACACCAAAATATTTTTTTAAAGGTTTAAAAGCAAAAATATTCAAGAATTTTTTTACTAAAAGTGTGTTTGGTTCAAGGGGAGTGATGAAGGGGAGGGAAGGGTTTTCATATTATTAGTTTTGTTGGAGCGGAGGGGAGAAGAGAGGTTTTTAATGATCTTTTATTTGGTTTATGAGAGGAGGGGAAGATAGGTAATAACTAATTTACTATTATATTCTTATGCATTAGTTTTAAATTTTTTTAATTATTTCTTGTAGAAAATAATTTTACACTTTAATTTAAATTTCATGATTTCTTAAAAATTCAGTTTCATCCTATCATATTGTCAATCAATGTTTTCAGAATTAGATCGGATATTGAACTAAAAAAGTCAATGGTTCACGGTTCACATGGTTCAACCGGATTGGACCAATGGTCAAACTGGTGACGTAATAATTAAATTAAAAAAATTATATATGTATATAATAATTTAAATATAAGAAATACATATGAAATTTCTATTTAACTTAAAAAAATAAAATATTTTAAGTTTATTATGATTTAACAAGTCATATGATACAACATAATATCAAATGATTAAAAAAATTGATAAAAAATAAAAAAATTTGAACTGTCCAGTTTTTTAAAACCAGATCTGATTCCCGACTTGATTTCGGTTTTCAGTTCAACCGCCAATTCAAAACAGCTCAACCCCTAAAATGGTTTTCTCATATGAACCAAAGCGAAATCCAAATCAGTCGACGGTTGAACCAGTCCGACCATCCGGTTCGATCCAGTTTTAAAAACACTGTTGTCAATATGTGAATAAAAAATTAAATAAATAATTATAATGATACCAAATTTTTATAAAAAATAAATAACTCCGTTAAATATATAATAAAATATGATGAATTGTAATTTTTAAAAAAATTAATGAGGTCAATCAACGTTTAGGAGTGAAGCACAATCTAACCTCAATTTGAAGGGCAATAATATGAGGGGAGGGGCCCTCTCCTCCAAAATTTCTTAACAAATGAGGGAAGGGGAGCAAAACTTCCAACCAAGCACACCTAAATTCTTAATTAAGAGTGTCTAGTATTTTTAAATTAACAAAAATGCAAGAGCATCCATATTTTTTTTTTTTTTCGTTTAACAAGCGCATCCTTCCTTGAACTGTTAAAGTTGTCTGATATCCATTAATGTTAACTGCTAAAAAAGAGTTGAAAAGCAAAACAATACCTAAAGCTTATGGTATTCTTAAGTGCGTCAACAATGATGCATATATAGGTAACCATTGCCCAACACTTGACTTAACTCCGTGGCATGGTTAAAATTTCATAGCGCAGACCATTTTAGGTTTATCAAGAATAATTATGTGTCATAATACTCTACAAAATTTCTACATCTTCCTTAACAATTTCCATCTGTTTAACATTCCTTTCTATAAACGAGAATAGATCATGAACAAAAAATAAATGTGAGATGATTGGACCATTTGTTTTGAATTTAAATGCCTTCCATTCACTCCGACTTCTTTTCACATTCAAGATATTGATCAAATGACCTAGTCTTTCCATATAAAGAAGGAATTTGTATGGGCTCAAAGGGTCTCATATTGATCAAATGACCTTGAATGTATGAAGCTTTGAATTCTTCTCCATTTCAAAAAGAATCTCACAAATTCAGAACCAATACATGTCATAATGACATATCTGAAACATCTCCTCAGCCCTTTATTATCCAAAGTCTTCTCTATGAAATCCCAATTATCTAATTAATGATATGCCTTTTCCACATCAACTTTTATTGCAAAAATAGCCATTATCATTGCGTTTCATGCTCGTGGAGTGGATATGTAAGAACTTCTCCCAGTGGGGACTTGATTTTTTAATTTATTATAATCTTATAGTTTTTTTATTTTTTTATTGCTTACAAGTGTCTCTTCATTAGAGGCAATCCTGTTTGAGATACAATCGAATGCTAAATTTGGGCATATCTTTCATCGAGAATTTGAACATTAATTTGTCATATTGTAAAAGCCCAACCCTTTCTGCTAGACAACTCTTGTTGGTAATTTCTTAAATATTTTAATTTTAATGAATTTCATAAATATCTAGAATTATATTTCAAAATTATTAATATTTATTTGATGTGTGTGTGTGTGTGTTTGTTAACAATATTTATATATATCTAGAATTTCTGGGTCTGTCACTTATCCTAAAACTAACATTAAACAACTAAATAGTCCACATATACTTAAGAGAGGAGGGGTGCTCTTTGGATTGGGTTATTAGACTCCCATCCCCAACTGGCTCGCTGTTACACACACACACACAAGAAGAATGATAGGCACACATAGTGTGATTAGAGATTTAATCACAAACTATAGAAGCATAAGGTGATGAGTCTTTTCAATGTAGCTTAAGCTAATTTGGTATAAGTGACAAACCTAGTCTGTGACTAATGTAAAAGTCTGACATATTATCAGAGCCATGTTGATTTGGGACTAAAAAAATTGACATAAAAAAAGAAAACAAAAAAAGAAAGGAAAAGGAAAAAATATAAGGAAAATATTAGAAGTTGATAATTCACAGTGTGATTAGAAAATTAATCCCAAATATATAAGTATATGGTGAGACTTTCCAAAATAGCTTAAGCAAGCTATTTTAATGTAATAAGTAACAAGTCTAAATTTGTGATTAATGTAAAACTCTAATACTCACCTACCTTTCTAGTCCATTGGGTTCTAATTTCTACAAACATGATTTAGGATCTAGGAGCTTTTTTTATTTTGTCTTTTTATTTATTTTTTTGTTTCCTTTTGCTGTGAAACATTAGCTCCTGTGTTTGTTTATATGAAAAGTTTTCGTTTGGCAAAAAAACAATTACCTATAACTTTTGTCTATGAAGCGAATCAAAAGAGGAGAGAAATGCCTTTTGCTTTATGTATCCTGACAAAGATTAGTACTTGCTATTGATGGATAATACTCTAATCCAGAAACAATGTCTCATACGCAATTACATAAAAATAAGAAATTAAATAAATAATAAATCAAATTTCCCGAAAAATCATATGAGTTGCAACGTTGAAATGATTGCGAAATAAAATTCAGCTATGTGAAAATAAAGTGCAACGACAAATGATGAAAAAAGGTCGCAAGGTTTCGTCAAAGGGTCAATGGCAAGGATTTGGTCATAGCATCAATAATATAAAATTTATTTTTTATAAGAGATTTTTTACATTAATTAAAAGGCACCCGCTATTAAAAATAGAGGTGGTGGTATTTTTGTAATATTATGATGCCATTGAAAGATTTTCAACATCAAGTAAAAAATAACTGCAGTAAAAAATACTTTTAACATCAGGTATAAATCCACCTGATGTTAAAAGGTTTAAAAAAATTATTATAAAACTTTAATAGTGAGTACCATCTCATCTGTTGTTGATTGTTTCCAAATTATTCATAAAAAAAAAAAACAAATTCCCACCTCTCTTCTTCTTCTTCATTGTCAACCGCTTCCCCAATTTCCCTCACAGTCTCTCCAACCCCTCCCCCCATCCCTCTCAACCCCCACAAACTCCTCCCCTCCTCCTCTGCCCCCACCCCTCTTGACCCCCCAAACTCCACCCTACCCCTCTCAACCCCCAACTCCTCCCTCCTCCTCCTCATTCTTTCCTCTTCTCGATTGAGCACAAGTACCAATTATTTTTTTAATTTTTAATTTGTATATATTAATTAGTGTTTGATTTGAATTTAACTTTTAATTTTTATTTAATTTATTTCATTTTAATTTACTATTTAATTTTATTTGATTATTTTTAATTAGTTTTTTTGTATAATTGCTTGTTGGGAGTGTTGTTAGTAGTTCCCTAATGCCCTAGACTATTGCATGTGTGGTTAAGTTTTTGTTGTTTGAAGGAGCGGAGGTATGAAACTTTTACTTTTTGCTTGTAAAATCTGCTACAAGTCTAATTGCTTATAAAAGTTGTTATTGAGATTTATGGGTATTGGA